AGGGCCAGTGGTAATAATAGCAATAGTAATGATCGTCATCATCATCATCATCATCATAATGGTCATCAATAGTGGTAGTAGTGATGACAATAGTGATGGTTCTTATGACAATACTCATAACTAACAATAATGGTCATGATGATTGCAACAACAATAAACATGAAAACATGAATTCGTGATGGTAATAATAGTAGTGATAAAATTTAACATATAAAAGATAATATTATATTCATATTAATATGAGTAATAACAGCAATAAACAAGTAGTAATGGTAAGGCCAGTCTCCATGCCCGTCGTGATGTCATCGACCCCGTCTCTGGGCGCGCGGCGGGCTCGGCGTCGACGGCTTGAGGAAATATAGGGGTTTAGGGTTCAGGGTTTAGGGTTTAGGGTTTAGGCTTCTGAGATTCTGGGTGCTTTAAAGTGGAGACGGTGGGGCGTTTAGGGTTTAGAGTTTAGGGTTTAAGGTTGGGTCTGGGTGGAGTGCTCAAATGAACGAGTTTGCGCTTTTGAGGGTTTGGAGTTGGGCGTTGAAGCGGTTTTGCACGTATTCGGTTTCTTGGGGGTAGGAGGGTTCGAGGTAGAGTTGCAAATTCAATGGGTTTAGGGTTTAGGGTTTAGGAATCCCCAAACCCCAAACCTTATCCCTTGAAAAAGGAAGGCGCCTGAATGACTACCAGTCTGTCCTTGAAGCTACCTTAAGCAATCAGTCCCAAGACCCTGTTTTAAAGATTGAGGCCCCAGTATTCATCCCTAAACCCTAAACCCTAAACCCTAAACCCTAAACCCTAAACCCCTAAACCAAAACCGTAAACCCTAAACCCCTCTAACCTGAAAACCTCCGACTTCAGAGTTTCCCTCTCTTTGGGGACTTTGGGGCTTCCACCTGGGACCTTGAACTTGGGGGTTTAGGGTTTAGGGTTTAGGGTTTAGGGTTTAGGGTTTAGAGTTTGGAGTTTAAGGTCTAGGGTTTTCGGTTTAGAGTTTTGGTTTAGGGTTTAGGGTTTAGGGTTTAGAGTTGAGAGTTTAGGGTTTAGGGTTTAGGGTTTAGCAACGAGCGTGAAAGGGAGAAGCCGTGGGAGTTTAGGGGTCTGCGGGTCTCGGCGTCTACGGTTCAGGCTGGGGGGTTTGAGGGTTTAGGGCTTAGGCTTTAGGGGCACTAATATAGGGACCTTAATAAATACCTAATGCCTATTATTTTGGGGGGTTCCTTATTTTATTTAGAATATAATATACCCCCAAACCCTATTGAAAAATACTAGTGTCTCTGTCACCCCATCTGCGGATCCGCACTGTTCAGCCCGGGTGTTCGAGGGTTTTTTGTCAATGGAGCAGTGTTCCCAGAGGCGTTCATGCGACGGGTGGGGTTTGGCTTCGGGCTTTTCGGTTTGGTTTTTGGGGCTTCTGATTCAGCGGATGTCAGACTTTCCGTGGTCTTCTATTCTTCTGCTAGAAGACTCGTCTTCCGAGAGGGTTGCCCCGAGTTGTCCGGCATACCACAACCGCACAGCGAAAGATCGAAGCCCTGCACTAGCTTTCAGGTCCATGCTGAACCGGAATCAAATGAGAGCCGATGCGGCGCCGTGCTCCTCTCCTTTGCCGGTCTTCGATGCGTTGTTTAAGGAGTATAGGGGTAAACTCGAAATCCCTAAACCTGAACTTGGGTTTAGAGTTTCGAGTCAGCATTTAGGCTTCAGGAGTCATCTGTCTGCCACTTCCGGAAGTTCCTTCGCCGTGAGATCTGCAGGTACGTTCCTGGTTCCATGCCACTCAGCGTCGGAGCGTAAGGACCCACCGTTGCTGCTTTGAACTCCAAATGGACTTGACTAGGGATGAGAACTCAAAACGGATCAGACCATGGGCATCATCATGCTTTGTCACTTTGTCCATGGATGAGTTGAACTGAAAGTGGATTAGGCGCATGGACATCATCATGGTTTTCCCATGGATGCTTCGAACTCAAGCGTGCGTGTGCTGTAAATACGATCGTTCTCGGCTGTCGAACACGCAAAAGGGCAGTTCATTCTTTGAGAACCATGCCTTCTGACCTGCCCGTTCGAGCGTTGTTTTCTCAAAACACGCAATCAACGCAGGGAGCCGCCACTTCTAAAAACAGCACAACCAAAAACGCGTCAAATCTGATTCATGGCTCGGGGCCATGTGTTTGTTCTTTGGCTGTCCAATAACAGAAAGAGTACGCAAAATATTTACACAAGAGAGCCTTTCGCCAAGCGCAGGTGCACCTTGTGAAGCACAAGAAATGCTGGTATTCACAGAGCTTGTCGCGGAAAAATCTTAAACAAGCATGCTGCTCTTCCCGTCGCACCGTGGGGGCAAGCCCGCCTACTGTTGCTGCTGCTACTGCTGCTGCTCCTACTACTACTACTACTGCTGCTGCTGCTGCTACTACTACTGTGAAACCAGTTTGCAGTTCCATGGTAAGCCTCGCTTGCTGTTCTGACTGATCCTGCTTCTGCAGGCCTTGAGCCTCAACCCTGC